TAGTAAGGGCCAGACACGTGTGAACATGTGACAAAGAACCTGAACATAAAATGTGAAATTTAACCAAATTTTTCTGTAATTGATCGCATAAGTATCATGTCTCCATGCTCCTAAACTCATAGCCCTCATTTAGAAGTAGGTTTTCTGTAAGTAAAATGTGAAATGAAATTTAAAACTTAAATATGATCAGAAAGTCTCAAAGGTGGTCAAAATCCCTTGAGGTCTCCAACACCTATGAGTGAGTATTTACATTCAATGAAGGAGGAAGAGGAGAGAAGAGTTTTCTCTTGTGAGTTTTTCACTTTCAAATGTGGCCGCCTACTCTGAGGTTACCAGCCCCAAAATGTTTAGGTTCTTTGTCATTTAGGCCCTTCCCAACTAGAATCAGAGTGGCAAGTGCTTTAACAAATAGAAGTAGATTTTGCACAAACAAGCAGTGAGATCCAGGTCCTTGAAGACCTAACACCCAATCCAAGACCCAGGAAGAGAAATGTGAGTCCTAGATGCACAAAGGGTAGCCTGCATGGTGCCTGACATTTTAAGTTGGCTGGAGTGTGGACCTCATGCTAATGCTGTGCTTTTCTTATTCACCAGGTTAGTATATACCTGGGAGCCACTGGAATGAGCTTAATAAAATATGACTTGTACTGGGACAGTAAAACTTGTATGATGCCTAGAAAAAGGAAAGTAGAAAGACTTGATATCATTGATATGTTTTAAGGCAGGGAAGGAGACACTATTTAAAGAAAATGACAGATGAGACTGATGACAACAGGTACAGAGAATATTTAGGAAAAGCTGAATTTCTACTTGGCTTTGTGAAATCAATCTTGGTAACCTAAGAAACATCTCTAACGTGTCTCCAGCATGTTTCATTTACTCTTTGGACTTAATTGTTTCTCAAAACACACGAGCAGCTTGTGTCATGGGAAATATTTGTTGTCTGCCCCCGTGGTCACTTCTTGCTTTGAAGGATTTCCCAAGTCATTATTGGGATTTGTCTGGATATTCTACTTGGACATATTCAATGGCTGTGACCATCCTAGGGGTCACAGCCCACCAGCTATTAAATGCTTCTTTTTCAGGTAGGGGGCTAGATTGTTGAACTGCCACACTGCACTGACTTCTCTTACATCTTCTCCAAATCTTCCCACCTCCTCAGTAATCCCTGAAAAGCTGTGTATTTATGACTATTCTTGATATCCTGGGTCCTCAACCTTAATGACTCCCTTAGTTTAGATCTACTGGGTTCTTGGGATCACTCATTCTCAGATGTCAGTGCCTTTAAGAAAGTATCCCAGGAAATGAATGGAAGAGGCACTTCCATTTTCTGTTGTGCAAAGTAAGAAGCTGCCTGAAAATCCCACCTTCTGATAAAAAATACTGCTGGAAACTGGTTCAGTCATGTTATAAAATGGGTAGTCTCTTTTTTCACCTGATACTCTGAGAACAATATTTCTCAGAGCACAGATGTTACTGAAAAGAAAAAAGAAATCTACAATCAAATAAGTCTGGGAAATACTGGATTAAATTAAATTGGAGAGCTTTCTTTCTTATATGACTTTTTAGATCCTTTGATCTGCTAATTGCCCCAGGAAGCTCAAAGATAGAGTTATAATATGGAGCACTTTCACAAAATTCTTTGCCCAGAGAGTCTTTGTTTCAAGGCTTTCCTCATGGGACTAATGCTCTAAAAGTTACTTTGGGAAATGCTAGTCTAGATTTATAATACTTGGATTCAGTTTCTCTTAAGGAGCAAGAAAAATCACAGTGAAGGAGAAAGGAACATGGAAGAAATGGAAAAAGAATATAATTATGTAAGTACCTAGCAATACTTACATGGAATTACCTAAGGAAAAATGAGTTTTTCTGGAAAAGTAACAAGGCAACTGATTTTTCCTATTTCTCCATTTTCATGTGTTCTGATCTCTTAACAAAGCTCAAGAGGCAATATCAACATTTTGTAGCCCTTCTTCCATAAGTCATTGTTGGTCAAGTCTTTAGGGCCACAGGAAGTCCAGTGTTGGAAGATTCACAGAAAGGGAATCAGGAATCCCTGGAAGAGACCTTTCCCCTTTAAGTCAGGTCAGCTAACACGGGTACATTATGAACATTTAGTTAAAATCTCATCCACATCACCCCATTATTAGGACTCTCATGCTTTCATATGGCTGTCATTTTTCTCCTAAGAAGAAACATATACTCATATGTACCTTAGATGTATTAGTGTATGTGGGCTATGCAATTAAGTGTAAGGTTTGTAATCAATTGGGAAAGATTACTATTGATAACTATTATCCATTGATAACTATTTTATTCTGGGACTTAGATTGATAACAGTACATATACTGATATACTAGTTGTTGATTACCAAATCTGAAATCTTCAGTACAGGGGAACATATCATTCCACTAGATCTGCGATGCCCAGTCAAAAGGGGCATCCAGCTCAGGAGATACAGCTATCTCCAACACTGGTGTCAATCTACTCTCACACTAGGGTTCCTTGTTTAATCTCTCCTTCTCTAATTAGAAGAGTCTAGCAAAGGAGCCTTACTGACTTAATGACTTCAACTTAAAACCACAAAAATACCCTTCTGGTCAAGAGTATTTTACTTTCACAGTGAACCCCACTACAGAATAAGTTTCTAAGGTATGGGCCCCTAATTAAGTTGGAGCTACCTTTTATCTGTCTTGTTCTGATTGACATGAACCAGAAAAGACGTGAACAAGACATCAGATGACCTGGATTCTTATTCTAGGACTAGACAGCCAATGCCTTGAAGACAGGGGTTCTGTCCATCATGCTGTTCCCCAAGTGCCACATCATGGCTGCCATGGAATTAGGTTAGGAACTCGGAACAGGATTCCAGCCTATTCACCCACTTCCTGGGCCCCGGCTTTCTCATCTGGAGAAGGGGATGAGGTTAACTGCCTCTATGCCCATCGGCTGCTTAGAGTGTTCACTGAGATGGTGGATGTGAAAGTGAAAGACCATCACCATCTTCCTAACAGTAGTAGTGAGAAGCATGTGCCAAAGGTCTCAACAATATGCCTTAGCCAGACACTCTTCAAGGAATGCTAACTCTTCTGGGAAGGACACCACCCTATGACAACCTCTAGTGTCGGTGGACAAACGTGATAGTCAACCAAATAGACGAGACACCCTAGTTTGTGATCACAGCTCTCTGGAAAAGTAGCAGGAACCTAGCTTTTGTAAGAAATATCATTCACAAGATGCGCTCTGGTGCTTCATTCCCAGTAGAACATATGAGCATATGTGTCTCTGTGATGAGACAAGCTGGTTTGTTATCTCAGCAGGTCCCTGGGTGATCCACTCCCCTGACTTGGCTCCAAATCCTTCTTTCTACTCTTAGGGTGCTCTCTGTTTTTCTCTCTGTTGGATTTGAGTGGGGGAACTCAGGATGGTCTTCTAGCATGTGTGGCTCAGAATGAATGGCCAAAGTGGGGACTGCAGGTTCCCACCAATAAAACCTCACACTCTCCCAATCTGAGAGAAGGCCAAGGAGAAAAGGGCAGGGACCAGGGATGAGAATGAGTTGTTTTAGTTAGCAGGATGCCAGGTCTATTGGGGCAGGCAAAGGTCGGGAGGTGGTAGTGGTGGTGGTGGTGATGGTGAAGGGTGATAATTGAATAAATAAAACCAAAACAAAACCAAAACGCAGACATACAAGATAATGACATGAAATTGACACTGCTCTCCATATTTCAGATCTCCAAATCAAGAGCATATTTTGGCAGCTAAAACATGAAATCATGCCCTGTCTGTACTTGGCTTCAGAAATCTAGATTATTTCTATGTGAACAGCTTCAGCAATGTTGGGGTCTCTGAGGGCAAAAGCTTCCAGGTACAAAGGTCAGGTCAAGCTCAGTGCTGGCTGCCTCGCTGCATAACTCCCAGGAGAACTTCTAATGCTGTGTTTTATATAAACAGCTCCCCCAGGACTTGTACTCCAGGTAAAACAACTTGGAAATTTCAAATCTTAACTTCTTTGGGACGCTAGCAACAGGAGGTGAAAAGGAAACAGAGCCACCTGAAAAGTTTTAGGAGCATCACAAGTATCTCCTCCCCCAGCAAACAATTAAACTGCCTCTTCACACAGGTAATTCTGACAAGCCCTCACCCTGCCATATCCAAAGGAGTGCATACTTATCCAGATGGTTCTATTTTGTTACCTATTGCTCCCATCTATGGAAATGTATCAGTTGCACTAGGATCACCAAAAATGGGGGCAGGGGGAGGCGAGAATCTTAGTACAATGAAGTAAGAAATATTGCTCATATTGACTATATTATCCTGCTAGTTTGCATTTAATTTCCTAATTTCCATAAAATTCACCTTCAAGAGTTTTAATACTAAACACTGTAAATAGTTTTTGCATTTGGTGGGTGAATGTAAATATTGCTGTAAAACCACAGACGGTTTTGTTTTTGTCAATCCATCTTTTCATGTGCTTTACTTAGTCAAGGGAGGAGATAGGGTCCAAATCAAATAAACCAGACTCCTTGACTTCACTGGCTAAAATGCCAGCAAAACGGATTTCTCTCCTTGTTGTTTTACTCCACCATTAATTTGCATCACTAAGAATTTTCTAGGAAAGTGCTCAGCGAACTCAAGGCTTCTCTGGTTGCCAAGCTCATGGAAACAAAGTGCTTTCTCTTAAAACTCTGAAAAAGACATTCCAAAGTAACCCGCCATGAGATACCGAGCCAGCAATAGACTACATATCTATGAAAGAAGAAAGGAGGGGAGGAAAGAAAATGCATAACACAAACAAGAAAAGACAAAACCTTAAAGAGGAAGGAGAAAGAAAAACATTTAGATTCCTTGACTGATGGAAATAAATACCAAAGCTATTAGTTTCAGTTCAAAGAACGTATCACTTTATGCTGTTTATTATTTCTTGAGGATTATTTATTTTATCTTAAAATATCTAAAGGGTAAAAGGGGTCTTGGAGGTAAGCAGCGATGAAACTGACCTGGTCCGGAGAGGGCCTGTGATTGGAATGTTGCGACCTCCCAGGAGATCGATGGTGGTGGTGATGGTGGTGATGATGGTAATGGTGATGGTCCTCATCATAGTTGTCTGCCATCAACTTCATTCTGTTCTGGGTCTGTGCAGAACAAAAACCAAGGAAGATTCCATCAGGAGCTAGAAGATCAGTCAAAGAGATTCAGGGCCTAATTATAGTACCTATAGGGATCCCTTTGTTCCTAATCCAGGAATTTTCACTGTTAGTCAAGTTGAAACTTAATAAGGAAAGCACCATGCCATTAACTTTGGTGAAAAAAGCTTTGTCACATCCTTAAAGCTATTATGTTACACCTGTAAATGTTAATGTACTTCCTCCTTGTGATTTAAAAGGGAAAAAATGGACATACTCTAAGGTGCTTTGCTTTACATTGTCAAGCAATCAGAGAGATCCAGGGCGAGCTTGCAATCGCAGAGTACCAACAATTATGACTGAGATTCTAGATGGACACTCTAGAGCAAGCTGGAGATGGAAGTCCTGGATGGAAAGATGGGAAGGGCCGGGTGGAAACACAGAACTACAGAGAGACAATGGTCTCACAAGACAAGGCAGAGAAATCCACTCAAAAGCTGCCAAATGCAAATATACTGATGGAGATGGTTTACTGCTATGATGACTTCTTGGGAAATGGCTCTCTACGGACATTTTAACTGATTTTCTTCCTTGAGGGAACTGAGCAAAAGGTACAAAGTCAATGGGAGAAGAACTGACCACTCTAATTTACAATCCATGATGCCTGTCACATGAGGCAACTTGGAGTCAAGGTTAAACCCCCAGGGCCATAGAAGCGTACTGCTTTATTATGCACGGCAGGAAATGGACCAGTGATGAACTGGCCTGACAGGCTCTCAGAATCTAGAAAAATGCCTAAAGACCACGGGAAAAGAGCAAACAAAATTATCAAGCTCAGAAAGTCAGGAAATATGGGTCTGATGATAGACCTGCCTGGATTCAAGGGATTCAAGTCCTGGCTCCACCTCTTTGCTGGTTATGTGACCTCAAGAGAGTAAACTATAAACCTTAATTTCCTCAACTCTAAAATGGGAGTAATAGTGCCTCTTTCCTTGGGGTTGCTGCTAGGAGCAAATGATGTGATAGACTTCAAGTGCCAGTCCAGTAACTGGCAATGAAAGTCAAATGCTGTCATTACTATAGTTACTGCTGTTACTGTTTGCTGTAAGACATTTTTCCTCCTTTGTATGTGCTGCTTCCTTTGCTTGCAATGCCTCCCTGGCCCCTTTCTTCACCTTTAACTTCTATGACTGGCTAACTCAAACTATTTACTCTAGGAGCCTTTTCCTGACCCTGTCCTTGAGGCTGGGTGACACGTGCCTCCTGCGCACCATGGCTCTATAACCACAGATTTATCCGTCCGTATGTCCATAGACCTTGAAGCTATTTCTTTCATCTGCCTCTCCCCAGAATCTCACATAGGGCCTAGCAGATGTAGATATGCAATACATCCTGCTGTAATGAGTGACCAAAAGAATGAAGGGGCCATGATTTTGAGGGATGCTGCCATCCTAGAGACAAGCTGCATGTTTGTTTTCAGCAGGGAGGGTCACGGAGAGTTGAGGACATTTCATTTCATGAGTTGCCATAACAATCCCACTGGTGGCTCAAGATGACAATGAACCAACAGTACTTTCAGAGAGCCAGAAGTCAGGGGTTGGCAGAGCCTCCAACCAGTTGGAGTTTTATTATGTAATATAAATAACACACTGACAATAAAGAAAAGTCTGGGCCTAACATTGTGTATTCTTATAGTATTTTTCACATACAATCCAACTTATTCTCAATACTTTCCCAGAAGCAATTATTATCCTCATTTGGCAGCTAGAAAGGTAAGGTGTAGATTTCAGTCCCGAGAGTCTCTTTCTTGATATAGAACATGGAGATTTTCTGGGTCATCCAATTCTCAATCTCCAGGCTGTTTCCCTTGTCTTGCTGCTAGCAGAAAAGGCAAACAGCTGAACAGGTAGAAAGAGATTTCCCATAAAATGCTTTGGTTCTGTTAAGTTTTGGAAACACCTCACATCCCAATTCTATCTGCCAGAGGATGTCTCATGATTTACTCACTCCTTTTTAAAAAATGTGTACAATATTTGAAAGCCCCCAAAGTGAATGTTAAAAAAAACTGTGTATATGAATAAAAACAATAAAAATAGAGGGAAAGATCCACTTAAAATTAAATAAAAAAATCCCAGGCAACCTTTGGCAGCTGAGAGCATTTCCATCCTTCACTTGTCTACTTAAAGTGTCAGAAGACCCAATGGGCAAGTTATGCTTTGTGAGAAAGAGCAGGTCAGTGGAGCTGCTGCAGACTAAGTACTGAGATTCCCCTTAGTCAGTCTGCCATTGCACATGAGATTCTGAAATTCGGCGTTCACACCTAAAATTCCAGTATTGTCAGGATCCTGTACTTTTGAACTCATGAACTAATAAATCTGGAATTGTTTCTTCTAAATAGAATTCTGAGAGCCTGAGGGGAGCTGTAAGATCTGCTGTGGGCAAGAAGGAAGGGACTCGCTCGAGAATGAAGGATGGAGCCTAAATGAACAAATAATAATTCTGCTATTGTAAACATCGTAATATCCTCATCCTTTGGGGAAGCTCCTGTGATTTTATGAGATTATTTTCTTACCAGCAACAAGCCTAAAGTTCCCTACCTTTGAACTGTATCCCATAAAAGAATGTACAAGCTAAACAAGATGCTATATGCAGTCCTAAATGTGTCTGCTAAAATGAGGTGTTGGAGAGTAGGCATGTCATGGGATAAAGACTGTAAATGAATGATGTCATCTTTCCAATTTGGTGCTGAAATATAAATAAACCACGTTGTTCATGTGAATACCAGATCTGGGGGAAATGTACACAGAGCAATTGTGAGCGGAAGAGGCTTCTTTTGATTAGTCTGGGCTGGAAGAGAAGAGTGTGAAACAGAGATGAAAAATGAGAGTTTTGTCTGATACTCTAGATCGTTTTTATTTATCTTGCTTGTAACATATCCCCTAAACTGTGACCAATTTCTTACTGGCTAGTTGCTGGTGTTCTCTCCTATAAAAACAGTTTGATCAATCTTGATCCTTTAATTGTCAAATTTAAAATAGATCCCTTAAATTTTTTTTTTTTTTTTTTTTTTTTTAAGATCTGCACTACCTAGCTTCATCCACACTCAATTATGTCGGTTTACACCTAAACAAGGGTCTGGAAAGATAAGAAGTCACAAATAACACTCCCTAACAGTCAATGAAAGAAAAACTACAGAAATTTGTAACACGGATTGGACACGGATACTGTTTGTTCAAATAATTCTAGGCAAACTTACCAGGTGATCCCATATATAATGGTTCACAGCCCTGTAGCCTCAGATGCTTGAGGTGCCCACTGAAAAGCCCGAAGCAGCAAATCTTCCAGGCAGGCAAAACTAAAAACCCAGGAAAATTAATATAGAGTTGGAGAGGGATTGCTTTCCACAGCACAGCACTTGGGAACTCAGGGACTCATTTAGCGATTCACTGAGGCCCATTTTTATTTCCTTTGCAGTGTCTACCAAACTGCTGACCAGACACTTTTGCCTTTGGCTAACTGTGTTATACTCTTTTTACTATATTATGTCATGACTGTGGAGACAAATCTAATCAGATTTCATTTTCTACTTCCTCTTTCTTCCAGGCGCCACCTTATTTCACTGGGGCCATCGCCTCCTAACAGCTCTCCTGCCGCACTCTCACCTCCCATTGAACACATTCCATAGCCAGAGTGACATCAGCTTTCTGTTCCTCCCTGGATTCAAGTTCTTGGGAGGCTCCCGCCACACTCAGGAAAATGGCCTGGGTCTTTGACATACTTAGGTATCTTTTGCTAGGTGACTGCTAGTTACTTCCACAGTCATACCTCCTGATCTCCTTGTCCCAGCCTTGGGACATGCTATTCTCTCTCTTCGTCCTGCTGTTTACTCTCTACCCCTTAAACCTGAGTTATGTCCATTAGTTCTCTGGTCTTAGCTTCAACGCCATCATTTCCAGAGATAACTTTCCTATGCCTGCCTTTTCCACTGCTTTCAGCAGAATGCTGTAGCCACTCCCCTGGGTCTCTACCATCACAGCACTTATCTGAACCAATGGTAACTAACTGCAGGTTCGCTTGGCTTTCTCCACCACTAGGTTGAAAATCTCTTGAGGGAAGTACCTCGTGTGGATTGCCCTTGCACTCCCCATCTAGGGCAGAGTCTCATGTCTTAGCTGTTAAGTAAAGGTGTGCCAAAGTACATGAGTGTAAAAATGGATGGATGGAGAGGGCACACAGGCTACTGTGGAAAAGATAAGAGGGAAGATGTGAGTCTAGGATGAGCCAGTTGAGTATTTAACTTTTGATGTGATAGTTTAACTTTTCCTGTTTATTTGTTTTTGTTTGTTGTAATTCTTGGGAGTGGTGAAGGCAGAGTATGTGCATAGCTTTGGAGCTGTTGGGAAAGTCTAATTGGTCTTCTTCAAGAAATATCCCATTCCTTAGATAATTGGACCCAGTGAAATACTATACCACCTCCCTGATTACTTACCTCATTAAGAATAAGGGGTGTTGGGGTGTTATCAGTTTCATTTCTTACTATCCCCTAGCGTTTGGGGGAACAGGAGCCTTTAGAAAACCTCTGTTAGTGCCAAAAGTCAAACATGGAAAACTGAAACTTTATCCATTAACTAAAATATCTGATGAACACCATCTGTGAAAAGGTGCCAGATATTCCAACTCTTATGACATTTCTGAAGAGTTTATCCAAGGAGCTCTTGAAACAAAATGAAAATCCTTGATTGACTAGTAATAGACTCAATTGCCTAATGGCAATATGTAGCGATAAACACGTCGTATTAAAACTGCTTTTAAAAATATTTTAGCAAGGTGGCAATAACAAACTATGCTTTGATCAGTCATCTGGATCAAGTTAACAATAAAACCTTCATGAATATGGTTTAAATAAGAAAAAAATATAATAAGATCTGTTGCTATGGGATATGGAGATAATACTGTACAACAGCAATTACAGTTTTATTCTATCAGGCTTTCTTTTCTTTCCCTGTTTC